GGGAAGTCTTCAAGAGCGCTGAAGCAAAGGCTACAAGAGCTCAGAACACTACTTCAACTCCAAGATCAAAGAGCTTAGGCACAACATTCTCCATAACCTCACCACCGTCAGTCATCTTTGTGACATAATGTCTCTTTTTAAATAGGGAGCAAGGAGTCAAATGTCTGGGTTAAACAATGGTTCTTACTAACTACACACACATTGCAAACTAATTCAAAATCTGCTTTAGAGCATAAATCTGGCAATTTGGCCTATCAAGAAAGAGCTTTCCAGATTTACAGTCAGAAATGTACTAAAAAGAAGGAAAACAAAATATGAAATTGAAACTATAATCAGCTTAAGTGGAAACAATACTATCTGCTTGTGATTGCTATTCCCATCATCAGTTGAATTAGCAAAAATGCCGGACTGCATGACACCAAGCTAAAGGCTTTCAAATGCCCATGGACTGATGTTCAGCAAAGCTGCATAGTCATTCACGGAGCTGGCCAGCAGTGACCCTTTAGGAAAGTTGCTTAAACTGTGAGTCTCAGTTTCTTTATTTACAAAATTATGAAAGCAAAGTCTGTGCTGCAGGGTTGTAATGGGACCCAGTCAAATAAAATAAAAGGTGCTCATTTATTACCATATTGATAAATCAGGTTAAGTTCTTCTTAGGAACATCTTAATTATGTGGGGCACGAAATAAAATAAATGTATTGGGAATGAAAAGCCAAGGGAAAGGTCTTCATAGGATATATTTTTGCACCAATGTAGTGGTTTTTATCCAGATTGTCATAGTATCCCGTAAGATATGCTAACTAGAAATTCTGGACATTTCATGTATTTGGAGAAACTGAAGATGAAATGACATGAAATCCCAGTGCAAGTCTATAAGCCAAATGTGGTTAGAAAATTTTTGACATTAATACTGATATTCAAAATAAATCTCTGAAATTGAAGCAAATGCTTAGATGAAACAGGAGTTTAAATATTAAACCAACTGGCATTTCATACTCTTGTCCTTTTCATGGTATGTTAACCGGGGACATAATTGGTACATTGTGGAGAAAACTCTGAATAAATACCTCTTCCCATATTCTAGGTCTTTCTTTCTTTCTGTCTTTATCTCAGTTTCTGTCTCTGTAACACACACACACACACACGCACACACGCACACACACGCACACACACACACACGCACACACACACAGGCCTGGGCTACTGATCCAGGCATTGATTTAGAGACGTGGAGCCTAGAGGCTAGATCATGCTGAAAGAGGTACGTTCCAAAGCAATCCATTGACCGTTGTCTCTCCACGGTTAAAGCCCCTTCTGTGCATGTGTATGTGTGTGAGCCATTTGCTCTCAATTTCACACTTCTTTTCTCCTTAAGTGCTACCCTTGGTGTTTATTTTAGTCTGTAAGAGACAGGTAGGTGGGGAGGGAAGATAATTTCCAATGTAATCATGCTAGTCCCTTGTACCTATAGGTTCTACTGTCAGTGTCACCACTGCTGAACACATTATCTGGTTTATTTCTCTGGTTGGTAATTTACATACCATTTTCTTCCTGTCACTCTTCTCAAAACTGGCAGATTTTCTCCAAGCAACTATTTCATTTTTTATTATCTGCAAAGGTGGAACTTAACCGATACTTCAGAATCAAACTTTTATTTTCTTTCACGTTTAATGGTAAGCCAGCTATGCTTCTATTCGGGGGACATTTTTTCAATTCTCTGCTTTTTTCTTGATTAAAGGCATGATTTCTTTAATGAAATTCATTTTGTAATCTTAATTCTTAAACACTATGTGTCCATGTGGGAAACCTCTTCCTCCCTTGTAGACTCCAAATTCGTTCTTTTATAAGCATGCACCCTTTCGCTACGTAGGGTAGTTCGGTGCCAAAATCGACAGTGCAGAGATGAAAAATAATTGGAGAGAACGTTATCTACATTTTCTTAGGCTCCTAGAACTTTATATTGAGAAGGGGCACTACAGTTTAACTGTTTTGTAAAACACTTCCCCTTTCTGTTCTTCCTGTCACACCAGCCAAATCTATAACATGTTGTGGTAAATGAGGAAATGCAATAGATACATTCACAGAGTAGTTAAGGTAATGTAAGTCATCCACAAAGGACAACTGACCTTTTCCATGCTCGATCCTGCATTATAGAAGGTTCTGCTGTTCTAAATAGTCACACGCTTCAAGGGGTGTATTTCCAATGGGAAGAAATATGAAGAGGAGAAAATGGAAATTTTTCCTCCTTTTTTTTTTTTCATTTGGAGAAAATAAGGAAGTGGAGGAGTTGTCAATAGACTGTATCTCCTTAGGCACATCTTTTTAAAGATAGTGGGATTGGGGCTTCCCTGGTGGCGCAGTGGTTGAGAGTCCGCCTGCAGATGCAGGGAACACGGGTTCGTACCCCGGTCTGGGAAGATCCCACATGACGCGGAGCGGCTGCGCCCGTGAGCCATGGCCGCTGAGCCTGCGCGTCCGGAGCCTGTGCTCCGCAACGGGAGAGGCCACAACAGTGAGAGGCCCGCGTACCGCAAAAAAAAAAAAAAATAGAACCTTGGTCTCAGACCCACTTCTCAAGTCCCTGCCTTTAGTTCTACGAGGAGACTTTTCAATTCATTCCACAAACCTGTATCAAGCACCTATTCTGTGTCAGGCCCTGAGCTGGGTATTTGGGAAGAGTAAAACATAGTCATGTCTCTAACAAGCTCCCAGTTTGGAAGGAGAACAAACACATGGACTAATAATGAAAATACAAGGTGCTGAGAAGCATAATAGAGATCAGTAAAGTGTTTGGGGCTCATAGAAGGGATAAGACCAGTTATTCCAGTTGAAGGTCAGGGAAGGCATCCCAGAGGCAGCGGCATGTTACAGAGAATAAAGACCTCTGCAAAAGCTGTGCAGGCAAGTCCTAGCTCTCCCTCCTAGTTTCCCCAGATTAATTCCAAAGACAGCAGCCTAACAGCATACAGTATCTCTTTAGGATGAATCATGAGAGTGCTTGGCAACTGGCAGCCCTAATAGCATCTCTAAGGAAAGCCATTAACTAGCAATTTTTCCTTATTATTTCACTCATCCACATAATTAAATATTCTTAACATACTTATTTCATAGTATTTCATGAAGAATGATAACACTGTGTTACTGTATACTAATGATACTATAATTATCCACCAGTTGCACATGTTTTGATGTGTTCTTTCAAAAAAATTATTCTAAAATACAAGTTTAATGTGAGGTTAAGACTGCACTAAGCCATTTCCTCTAAGACGCTACTGCTTGCCTTTATTTCACAGTGGGGAAATGACGTGAAAGGCTTGCCTTAGATTCTTCTGGCTTTTGAGGAAGCTATAAATGTTTATATGAATTTATTAAAAATCTCACTGATCCTTCAAAAATCACTCCTAAGGGATTTTTGTCAGTTTTCCTATTTTGCTGTAAAATATATGATTATTGTCATTGTGCTATCTTTTTTACACTATATAAATACGCACACACATAAAGCACATATATACATGCATACATATGTATAAATCTTTTGTATGTATTAATATTTTATATGTATAAACACATATACATATATAGTTCTAGGTATAATGTATATACCTATATATACAATAAAGAGCTCTTTAACCTTGCCTCAAATCCCGTCTCTATGTTACGAATATCAAAAGTTATTTTTCCCCAATCCCTTTCATAAAGTCTTTATGTGCCAAGATAAAAATGTTCAATTCTATGAGATAATGCCATTTGCAGCAACATGGATGGACCTGGAGATTATCATACTAAGTGAAGTAAGTCAGACAGAGAAAGACATATATATGATATCGCTTATATGTGGAATCTAAAAAAGGATGATACAAATGAACTTATTTACAAAACAGAAACAGACACATATTTAGAGAATGAATTTATGGTTACCCAGGGGGAAGGGAGGGGGGGAAGGATAGATTGGGAGTTTGGGATTGACATGTACGCACTGTTATGTTTAAAACAGATAACCAACAAGGACCTACTGTATAGCACAGGGAACGCTGCTCAATATTCTTTAATAACCTAAATGGGAAAAAGAATTTGAAAAAGAATAAATACATGTCTATGTATAACTGAATCACTTTGCTGTACACCTGAATCTAACACAACATTGTTAATCAACTATGTTCCAATAAAAAATAATTTTAAAAAAATGTTCAATTCTAGATATGGTTTCCTCAGAGTAACGTGTTATGAGGCAGCATCCTGACTCTCTATTACAGCACCTCATGTATGTGATTTTAAACTCATTTTCCTAAAAGTGAGTAGGAGTCCATTCATTTCATTTACTTTCACTGTCATTTTATGCAGTTTGGGGCTGTGTTGGAATCTAGTTCAGAGTGGCTGAGCAAGACTCACAACAAAACAAACTGCCCCCAGCTGGTAATTATTCACACAGCTTGGTCCCTTCTAACATCTCATATGAGCGCTTCCTTTGTTTTTGTTTTTGCAGTACGCGGGCCTCTCACTGCTGCGGCCTCTCACTGCTGCGGCCTCTCCCGCCGCGGAGCACAGGCTCCGGACGCGTAGGCTCAGCGGCCATGGCCCACGGGCCCAGCCACTCCACGATACGCGGGATCCTCCCGGACCGGGCACGAGCCCGCGCCCCCTGCATCGGCAGGTGGACTCCCAACCACTGCGCCACCAGGGAAGCCCTGAGCGCTTCCTTTGAAAGTTACAGCCTACTGAGGTGGATTAAAACCAGTCCTAGGTGTACTCAGTGTTTCAAGAGATGACTTAATATTTCACATAATAGTATCTCCCTTGTTTGGGATTGACATGTACACACTGCTATATTTAAAATAAAATGCCTCTCCGTGAAAAAAAGTATCTCCCTTAAATATAGCATTCTTATTTTCAATGCATGTTTATAACTAACATCTTATTTATGCCCACAAATTTTACATGATAAGTGGTGAAGGAATTTAGGATAAATTAAAGGACCCCCTAAAAGTTGGGAGATGGGGAATTCCCTGGTGGTCCAGTGTTTAGGACGCCACACTTTCACTGTCGAGGGCTCAGGTTCGATCCCTGGCCAGGGAACTAAGATCCCTGGCCGGGGAACTAAGTCAAGTGGCTCAGCCAAAAAAAAGTCAGGAGATGAGCTTTAGTAGCTGTACTAAAAGCTGTGTTATAATAATTATTGAACCATAAGTTGATTACATTAGAAGGGAAGCAAAGCCAAGGATTTGCCTTAGGTGACAGTCCTTCATGGAACTGAGACCACAGCCTCTGTGATTCCTTGCTCAAGATATACTGCCAGTGTCCTTTTCAAATATATACCTGGTACACAAAATTACAATTCCAGGTGCTGAGTCAAATGTATGTGGTAACTTCTAGTTCACAAATACTATAAGACAGTTAACTTCACACTTCTCTTAAGCTGGCTTTGGGCTCAAGCAAGCTGGCCAAGATTGTGCCAAGAACTTTCTGTTGGGATTCCTTTTTCTTTTTCTTTTCTTTTCTTTTTTAAATAAATTTATTTATTTATTTATTTTTGGCTGCATTGGGTCTTTGTTGCTGCGCACTGGCTTTCTCTAGTTGTGGCGAGCAGGGGCTACTCTTTGCTGCGGTGCACAGGCTTCCATTGCGGTGGCTTCTCTCGTTGTGGAGCACAGGCTCTAGGTGTGCAGGCTCAGTAGTCGTGGCTCGCGGGCTGTAGAGCACAGGCTCAATAGCTGTGGCGCACAGGCTTAGTTGCTCCGCGACATGTGGGATCTTCCCCGACCAGGGCTCTAACCCGTGTTGCCTGCATTGGCAGGCGGATTCTTAACCACTGCACCACCAGGGAAGTACGGGATTTTTTTTTTCTTTTGTTTTGTACACAATTATTTTTTTTGTACTTTTTTTTTGGCCCATGCCACACATTTCGAACCTGTGCCCTCGGCAGTGAAAGCGAGGAGTCCTAAGCACTGGACCACCAGGGAAGTCCCTGTACACAATTATTATTAAGGCCAATGCAGAAGTATTTATCCAAAGAACTCATTTATCTGTGCAGTAGCTTAACAGAAATTAGGCTGCATCATTCTTTAAATACCTCATTACTCAGAGTTGCTGATACTCCTATGTCATTAACTGTAAACCACCTGAGATTTTCCAGCTCTGCTATATATCTCTGGTTGCCTCACTAGAATAGAAGTGCATGACATAATCAAGAACCTATCTATTAATATCATGCAGGAGTGTAGAGTGTACACTTTACAGAACATTTTGTCTTAAGAGAGGAGGTTGGTTTTTCCAAAAGCCTAATTCACACGCTTCCATGATTCTGAACAGTAGCAACGCAGCATGAATACTGAGAGATAAGACACATGTGATTTCTAACAATGCTTTCTCTAGCTGTTCCTGCCTAGGAATACACACATACTTTTCAAAAAAAGAAATGTTAAAAGGAAGATTACCAAACATGAAAGATCTACCACCAATTTCAAATCAGAATGGAAGCTTTGGTTTCTCTGAAAAGGATTTCCACATAACAGAAAGTTATTAATATTTTATCCCTTCTCTGCCCCTCATCATCCACCATCAGTCATTTGTCAACTCCTTCACAATATCCCTTATTTGCTTGCTCTTATTGCCTCCTTTCTCATTGCCCTCATTGCCAAAAGAAAAAAGAAACAGTAGAATGAACAGTTCTCAAGCCTCCCTCTTGTAGAACACTGAGGTTTCAAGAGATGGTCTAAGATTTCTTTTTAGATCAAATCTTAGTAGGGTTTTTTTTAAGATTTTCAGGAGGTAGGACAATTAATGGATTGTGTTTTCTCAATGAAATGTATTTTTCCCACACATCTTTCTTAAAAATTTAACACATCTGCAGCTTGTATGTGATGGTAGAAGATGGCATTTATAGCACAAAATTATACTCCTAGTTGTTTTAAGCTTAATATAACAATGGTTCATAATGTTGTACAAAGATGATTATGATTTTCAAGAGTTCTGGAACATGAACCAGTTTGGGCCTCTAAATCTTCTTCCTGCTTCTGATTTCTCCCAGAATCATCTTCTAAAGCACCTCTGATCTCACTCCTCTATGAAAAAATTTAATTGGCTCCCCATTGCCTATGGCACAAAATCCAAACATCTGAGCAGAGACTCAGGGGTCCCCTGAGCTACACCAGAATGCATTGCTTTTGCAATAATAAACTTTCCCTACTGCACACATAAGGCTTGATACACGTGTGTGTGTGTGTGTGTAGGGTCATATTATACAACACACTCAGAGAGAGACACCATTTTCACTTATAATATAGTCCTGAAATCTACGATTTATTTCCCCAAAGAAGCCATATTTAACTACATATTGTATTCTTAACCAAGAAACTTGTACAAAATCAATTACAGATATGCTCATAGTAATAGGTGAGAAAATAAAGCTGAAGATATATATCCTAGGACTCCTAGATATAATAAAATTATCTTTCAAATCAAAAAGTAAATATGATCAAATATTGTATATCACTAAAAGACTGGTGCATTTATAGCAAACAAGACTACTCTAGCCTGTAACATTTTACTAAAATTAATATGCAGGCTGTAACAAATACTAAATTGCTCATTAATAATGATAATGTTTATATCCTGAGAATTTATAAATATTTAGTTGTGTAATTTGGACTCCTCAGATCTCTCTAAGAAAGCTGTCCAAAGAAAACTGGATGGATGTGTTTTCTCAAAACAAATTTCCTTGCTGTGAGGAGGTATTCAAACCCATTCTAGTTTCTTTAGTGATATTTTCAGGCTGGTATGTCAATATGTTTTCATAGGTGTTATGTTGTTTCTCCCACTGAAAAGCATTTTTTCTTCAAATAAGAACTGTTCCAACATTCCACCATTTCACTTTCTCTTTCTTAGTTTAGTGGAAAGCTGGGAGCAAATTGAATAAAGACCACCAAGAAAATAATGGTTTTACTTAACATTTTCTTGACACTATTTAGAGAAAAGTCATCCTTTCTAGAGACTCATTTTTTTTTAAAGTTTTCATTAGTAAAGACCATGTAAAAATTATTTTAAACAGCTTCATATCTTATAAGAAAGTTCATAGCAACATCATTTAAGTGTCACCTTTAGTTGAACAAGAGAGACATAGGAATTAAGGATTTCATTAAATAAGAGAAAAAGATCAGAGCCATAGGATGAAAAGTGCATTCATCCAGGTTTTACCCTTTGTCACAATCTGGTTTTAATATCAGGGTCTTTTGTTGAACCATCCTTTCCCCTTTGCACCTTTTTTATACCAATAAAAAGAACCCTAGGATGAGATAGTAAATTGTACAACAACTTTAGAAAACTGTTTGGTGGTATCTACTAAAGCTGAACTTAGGCATATCCTATGACCTAGCAATTCCACACCTAAGTATACATCCAATTCAAGCACATCCATCTAGTCACCAAAGACATGTCCTAGCATGTTCATAGCCAAACTCTTCATAATGGCCAGAAAAACGGAAATACCCAAATTCCAACAACAGTAAAATTTATACATAAATCATATACATTTACACATTATTCACCAATGAGAATGAACAGCAACTGTGTGCAACATGATGAATCTCATCAACATAATGTTGAATGAAAGAAGCCAGATACAAAAGAGCACATAGCGAATAATGTCTTTAATACGACCAAAATATGACTGAAAGCATAAGAACAGGCAAAAGTAGTCTATGTTGTTAGAAATCAACACCATGGATACCGTAGGTGGTAAGAGGAATTAAGGACTAGAGCAGAGCATGAAGGGGCTTGTGTGGTGCTGAGAGTGTTTTGCTTTTTGATCTAAGGACTGGCTAGATAGGTGTGTTCAGTAGCTGAAATTTTAATGTATTTTATACTGATGCTGTGTGTACTTTTCTGATATATGTATATTTTACTTCGATCAAGTTTTTTAAAAAGGAACCCAGGAAGTCAAAAGCACTTTCCTTTTGCCAAAGAGGAAGTATGACCCTCTAAAGTTTTAAGGCTTTCTGAGAATCCCAGTAAGTACCAAATAGAAATATTATTCAAAGGAGGCACAAGTCAGCCAACATTCAATCCAATTGACTTAGGTATTTTTGGTTGTCTTTTTTTTCTTTTTTTTAGGTAAAGATTATCAGAAAACTGAAAATGGAAGTGTAAATATCTTACTCTATCTTAAATACACCAAATAGTTTAAGGATCACCTTAAACACAGTTCCCATGAAAAAAAGTATCTATGGCATACTACCCCAATTTTTAAAATCAGACATAATTCCTAAGAATTAGAAAAAATGATGGAGGATTAAACTTCACGGAGAACCTTAAAAGGTCAAGAAAGTGACAACTTGCCTTCCTCTGGAAATTTGCTGTGGCTTCATAACCATGAAAATATTTTTCTCCACCTTCCATCACTTCCCCAAAACTGCTTTTCTTTAAAAGTCAAATATGCAGAAAAAACATTCTTACCAACTATTCTGCCATTGTGACACTGCTGTAAACTATACTTCCCAAGACCGAGACATGAACATTTGTAATGATAACAGCTGGACACTTGGAAGATGTTAGCAAGTGACCATGCTGATACTTTAAATCTAGACTTTCTTCGGGTGCCAAAAAACATATTTCTGAGATCACATTATCTTCTTCAGGAGTCAAAGATACAATCTCTTAGCTCAGAAAGTCATAGGGACAAGACAAAGAACAAACCATAAATATTCAGGTAAGAGAATGTATTGATGGGTCTGATTCTTACTCATTGAAAAGTTAAATACTTAGACCTGGGCAAAAACGCTAGCTTCCTTCTTTATGGGAATAAATGCAAAAGATCCCTTCTGACTGGCTCCTTCTTTTAAATACTTTTTTCCAGCCACTCCTAGAGGATCCAGAAACACAGGGCAGGCTGCTGCTACACAACATTATATATAGTCCTTTGGAATGTCTATTTCAGCAAATGATCTCTTTAATACCTAAAAGGACACATGAGCCAAACCTGAGTATGAAAATAAACATAATAAACATATGCCTAAAGCATATCACACTCAACAACATACTCCTTTCAACCTCGCAGATGCTGAGGGTGTTAAGATTTGGAA